TCCAAGCATGAAACTACTATTACAAATTACCATCTGGAGTGCAGTAGCCAAGCATATTTTTTTTATATCTAATTAGAACTCAGTTTTTCGAGCTTGTGAAGTAGATAATTACACTTACTTGGAATCATTTTTTAAATATGTATATTTTTAATCTTTTATTTATTTGGCACAGGGTCTCACTATGCAGCTTGAACTTGTAGTGATACTCCTGTCTTAGCTTCCCCAGTGCTGGGATTACGGGCATGTACAACCACATCTGGCTTTGGGCCAGCACTGTGTACCTTACCAGGGCTGTTACGGCATGTGGTACCAGGGCTCAAACCCATGTCCTTATACTTGCCAGGCAGACTCTTAGACTGCCAAGCTATTTCCTCAGCCCCTCATTTGTCTTTTTTATTTTTATTTTTTGAGACAGATCTTGCAGTGTAGTTCAGGCTGGCCTTGAATTCACTGTGTTGTTTAGGCTGGTCTTGAACTTGTGGAGATGCTTCTGCCTCTGCTTTCAGGAATGATAGACATGTACCACCACACACAGCATTTGTCCTTGTTTTAATGTGAAATTGCTTTTTTTCTTCTTGGAGAATTACTTTTTTTTTTTTAATGAAACTTATGTTACATTATGTTATGCTATTTTGCAGTCCTGTAGATTAAACTCAGGATCTTGTGCTTGCAAGGCAGGTGCATATGACTTGAATAATCTCCCCAACCCAAGAAATTGTTTGAATGTGAAATATATAAGCAATTCATATTTTATAAAGTAAAACTTCTCTTTTGTCTTAACATTGTTCCTTTTATTTGTTCATTTGTTTATGTATTTAGTACAAGGTCTACAGGGTCTTACTGCGTACACAGATTGGACTCATAGTGATTCTCCTGTTTTCACCCTCCCAAGAGCTGGGATTATAGATGTGTGCCATACCACACCCATTCTCAGTTGCTGTCTCAGTGCATCCTGAGGCAGGGCCAGCATGGTGCACCAGGAATTGAACCCTGGTCCCTGCACCTGCCTAAGCAGGTGCTTCAGTCCACTGAGCTATCTGGCTGACCCTCTTCCTGACTTTTAAATGAGTTTTGAAGTATATATATTTACTTGAAACGTTATCTACATTCAATTTTTTTTTTTTTTTCATTTATGTATTTGGTACAAGGTTTCACTACACAGCTTGGACTCGTAATGATCCTCCTGTTTTCAGCCTCCCCAGTGCTGGGATTATAGGTGTATGCCACCATGCCTGGACTCTGTCACTGGCCCAGTACGCCCTGGAGATGGGGCTGGTGTGGCATGCGGGACTGGGATTGAACCGGTCCCTGTGCTTGCCAAACAGGTGTTTAGTCCACTGAGCTATCTCACTGGTCCTTACATTTAATTTTTTGTGGGGTTTAAATAAATTGTATGTAGGTAAACAGTGTAAACAGTATACTGTCCTCTCCTTTTCTCCTTCCTTTCTTCCCTTCCCTTCCCTCCCTCCTTCTGCCTCCTTTTTCTTTCTTCCTCTCCCTCATTTTGTTTCCTTTACAGTGTTAGGGATCAAACTTAAGGCCTCATGCATAGGCAGATGTTCTACTTCTGAGCTGTATCTCTAGCTGCTATATGGCATTTATTTTATTGTTTGATACTTGGTATTGGGAATTGAACTCACAACATCATGCTTGGCCAGGCAGGCACTGTGCTATTGAGCTATATCCCTAGGTCCTATATAACATTTTTATAGCTTGGTGTTCATTTACTTTAGCTTGGACAGTTTTTGTTGTCCATACCTATGGATAATTTCAATTTTAGGTGCATTATTATTATTTTTTAAAAACATTTATTTATTTATTTATTTATTTTTGTGTGTGTGTGTGTGTGTGTGTGTGTGTGTGTGTGTGTGTGGCCAGCTCAGCCCACCAGGGGGCGGGGCTGGCTGGCATGTGGTGCTGGGGGATCGAACCGCGGTCCCTGTGTTTTGCTTAGCTTAGCTTGTCCCTGTGCTTTGTTTAGCTTAGCTTGTTCTAAGTAGGTGTTTTAGACCACTGAGCCATCTCACCAGCCCCTAGGTGCATTATTTTGTAGTATAGATATGAGTTACTTTAAAAAATCTTTTATTTTCTAAATGATATAATTATCACATACTTTTGAAATGCTAACATCAACTTGTTTTTCCCTCAGACAAACAAGAAGACTGGAAAACCAATGATAAATCTTTACACAGACAAAGACACAGGGAAGCCAAAAGGAGAGGCAACAGTGTCATTTGATGACCCTCCTTCAGCTAAGGCAGCCATTGACTGGTTTGATGGTATGCCTCATTTGTATAGTTTTTCAATAACTTTTTGGGTGTGAAAGTCAAAATATATTGTAGGAGAAGATAATGATATTTTTACTTTTGCAAATATTAATGAAAGTTGGAGTTTTTATGTATTTAGAAAATGAGTTCTTTGTCTAGAATATTTTCTTACACCGTGCCTTTCATGAGACCTAACCCCAACCCAAATAAAGGTATTAGAAAATGGGGCTGGGGAGATGGCTCAGTAAAATAAGTGTTTGCCTGGTAAGCGCAAGGGCCTGAGTTCAATCCCTGGTTCCGCCAAAAAAAAAAAAAGAGGAAGTATTAGAGAAATGGCCTGATTGACTAGCCTTTAAAATTTTAGTTTCCCTTTCAATATAAAGTTAATACATACTTAGAAGGAAAGGTAATTTTTGTTTCTATGCTAAAATAAGTAAGGTATTAAAATCTTCTACAGAGATAATCACTGATATTTTTTGTTAATTTTCCTTCTTCTAGTCTGCTAAGATATTTTAAGATGTTACCAGGATGTTCCCAATACAGTTTTGTCCTAATGCTTTTTTTTTTTGGTACTAGGAATCAAACTCACAACCTCATGCTTGCCAGGCAGGTGCTGTGCTGCTTCACTATATCCCTGGCTATCTCATATGTTTTTGGTTTTTTGTTTTTGTTTTTTTTTTTCTCATTTAACATTTTAACAGTTATTTCTCCATGTTAGTATAAATCCATAATATATATATCTACACGTTTGTGAGCTAGGAACAGTTTTCTATACTGGGAGTGAATATCTTTCTTCATCTCTGTATTCTTTATTTTTTATTTTTTTTATATCAGGTCTTCTTAGAACTTTTAGAATACTGATCTGTGAGTTGGTTCCTATATGAAAAGCATCTCTTGACATCTCAAGACATTGCCAGCTAGAGTAATGAGGGCTTTGGCCAAGAAACTAAGATTCATGGATTTGTAACTATTTTGTGAATCTTTGGGATCTTTTTTTTTGTGTGGGCGAGTACTTCTTCTTAGATACCAATTGTCATATTTAATATAAAGCAAAAGAGACTTAACTCTTGTCCCTAAGACATTACAACAGCAGAATATTTGTGCATATAAGTATTGTGTATTATACACTTTTTTTTTTTTGCGGAACAGGGGATTGAATTCAGGCCCTTGTACTTGCCAGGGAAGCACTTACTCCACTGAGCCATGGCCCCGGCCCTGTATACATACTTTTTAAAGATGCAATGTGCACATGGTAAAATTTTGGATAGTATGAGAAGCATGTAATGTGTAGTTTCTTTTCCACCTTGTCCTTCCACCATGATGATGTTTGTCCTCCTGGGAAGTAAGTAGGCACACAGTGGCAGTTCATCTGCAAGCATATGTGTGAATATGTAGGGGAGGTACATATGTATGCTATTGCCTTAAATAGAAGTGATGATCTACTTCATTTGTTCTCAGTTGGTTTTTCATGTAAAGATATTAGGGATGTGTCTGTGTGTTTTGTTTTTATTTTTAACCTAATAAAAAGCAACATCTGCTTTGTTGAATAGGTTGTATATCAGTCATACTTAATACTGTCACTTTGACTCTTTGGAACACAGAAGTCTTTGAATTTTTTTGAAGATATCAATTATTCCTCTATGAAACTAAAAGTTCCCAACATAATTTTGTATTTTTGTTGGGAGGTAGAAGTGTGTGTATAATAGCATGTCTTCAAAACCATTTTCTTTTTGCTTAGGAAAAGAATTCCATGGCAATATCATTAAAGTGTCTTTTGCCACTCGAAGACCTGAATTCATGAGAGGAGGTGGAAGTGGAGGTGGGCGGCGAGGTAAGATGCTTGCTGCTCACAGCCCTGGATGCTATACACAAGGCTTGCGCTGTGTCCTGCTTGCACAGTTTGCTATTGCCCTTTTTCTCCCAGGTCTTTTTCCTTTTATGTTAAAGGGAAGGTGGGTATTAAATAGATTAGGTAAATAAGGTATCATAATAGCTAAGAAAGTAGTGGGAGGAGGTTATAGAACTCTCTGTAAAGCTTTATAGCGCATTTTGTTCATTTGGAAATCATGAGAAGTTGTGCAAGTGCTAATTAAGTAGTTCATCTAGTTCTTAAGCTCCTTGATTCTTAAGCTTCATTGTATTTGTTAGGCCCATTTCCTCAAAATTTGGAATTTTTCTTCTTAACCTTTACCACCGAGACTCAAACTAAGAAGATAATGTAGAAAGTACATTTTTAAAGTTTTTTTTTTTTTTCAGTATATTATTTATACTGTAAAGTGTATGTGATCTCTGGTCTTATTTTATGAATTTAAACTTTTAAAGAATTATGGAGTTCTTTTGTATGGGTTAATTTTGTGGCAGCTCCCCAGGTATTAATGAATATTCTTATTTCTTTTATTTGGTGCTTTTTTTTCTATTAATGTCTAATATATTGATTTTTCTCCTTTACCTACCCTTTTTCACCCAGGCCGTGGAGGATATAGAGGCCGTGGAGGCTTTCAGGGGAGAGGTGGAGACCCCAAAAATGGGGACTGGGTTTGTCCTAATCCGTAAGTATTTCAGTGAAAGTAGAGGTTGGCTTGGGGGTTAAGGAGTGCAAAAAGAGGTTTTAAGTCCATTAGAAATACCCAGGAGCATTTTGTCATCCTTTCTCAGATCATGTGGAAATATGAATTTTGCCCGAAGAAATTCCTGTAATCAGTGCAATGAGCCTAGACCAGAGGACTCTCGTCCCTCAGGAGGAGGTAGGTCATCTTTTTAATTCAGCTATGTTTCTTTTCTTCTGACCAGTGTTAAAGAGGGTTCACATCATTTTGTTGGTCTCACTGGTTTGCATTTCTACTTTGCAGATTTCCGGGGGAGAGGCTACGGTGGAGAGAGGGGCTACAGAGGTCGTGGGGGCAGAGGTGGAGACCGAGGCGGTTATGGTGGAGACAGAAGTGGTGGTGGCTATGGTGGAGACAGAAGTGGCTACAGTGGAGACAGAAGTGGAGGGGGAGGCTATGGTGGAGACAGAAGTGGGGGCTATGGTGGGGACAGAGGAGGTGGCTATGGAGGAGACCGAGGAGGTGGCTATGGAGGAGACCGAGGTGGCTATGGTGGAGACCGTGGGGTTATGGTGGAGACCGAGGCGGCTACGGAGGAGATCGAGGTGGCTACGGAGGAGATCGAGGGGGTTACGGAGGAGACCGAGGGGGTTATGGAGGAGACCGAAGTCGAGGGGGCTATGGAGGAGACCGTGGTGGTGGCAGTGGAGGCTATGGTGGAGACCGAAGTGGAGGCTATGGAGGAGACCGGAGTGGTGGTGGCTATGGAGACCGAGGTGGCTATGGAGGCAAAATGGGAGGAAGGTGAGGACACAAATGTACTTGTAAATTTCTCTACTTCACTGCTTTATTAGATTTTATGGTTTGAGTTTTTTGGGCACATTTCCTTTCTTTTTTTAAACAAGATCTCACTATAGCCAAGACTGGCTTTGATCTCAAGATGCCTCTTACCTCAGCCTTTTAAGTGTTGGGATTACAGGCATGTGCCATTGAGCCAGCCTGGCTACATTTTTCGATTTTGTTTTTTTTTGAGACAGGGTCTCATTGTGCAGTTCAGCTGTGCTTGAACTCAGGGTGATCCTCCCAAGTGCTGGGACTACAGGCATGCACCACTATGCCTGCCTTTCATGTTTTACTTAACTTTTTGTAAGTTAGATTCCTATTGGCAGTTCTTTCAGAATAAAGAAAATCCACTTAGTTCCTTGCTTAGCAGTATCTAAAATCTGTTTCAGGAATTATTATTTGTGAATATTCATATTTATCTGATAGGTATATTATTTTTTTCTCATTAAATTGAGGTGGACAGATAACTTGGAACTGTTAATGTCAAGGGTTCTTAGTCTCAGGAGAGCACACTTTTATAGGTGTGTTCTTTTAAATCAGGTGGGCTAAATGAAGTGTGGTGGTAAAGCCCTGTAATCCCAGTACTTGGGAACCTGAGGTAGAATTTAAAATTTCAGCCTAATGTGAGCTATAGTGTAAGACTCTTCTCTATCCTGCTGCTTCACTCTACAGTTTTTCCAGAGATTCTGGTATGTTTTCGAGATGAAAATCACTGGTGGTGGGAGTATGTTGTATATATGAATGGTGTAGAGTTAGAACAAATTGAAGAGCCAGTGATGTAATTTATTATAAGGATCTATATCCCAGAGGCAGTTTAGGGTAGTGAAAATTAATATAGTATTAAAGGGTTAGGGATATAGTTAAGCAGCCTAGTGTCTGCCTGGTGAGCACAAGGTCCTGAGTTCAATTTCTGATACCAAAAAATATATATAGTATTTTAAAATGGTGGAGTCGGGAGAGTCTGGGTTCTGTCTCTTTACTTTAACTAGCTGTGTGACTTTAGGCAAGTTATTTAAGCCTTTAGATTATCTGTAGTCTCAGATATAAAAGGGGGCTAATACTTCCTTTGTAGGATTGTCTTAGGTTATAACAGCTGTGGGGTAATTGTTAGCTGTTAATTAATGTCCATAAACACATCTTGCTGTGTGGCAGATGTCTACTTCTGAGGTAGAGTGCCTCTCATTTTACGGAGTCAAAGTAACTTTTCCAACATCACATAATAAAGTGTCATATCCAGGATTCATATATGAAAGCTTTCTTATTCCCTTCTCCATTATCACTCTTCTTGGCATGCATGGTCTGTAATCTCTAATGTTACAGTGGTTAGTTTTTCCTGGTAGGGAGTTGTTAGAGCAAAGCTGATTCTAGGAACTTTGGCTAAAGCCTGATAAATACATTATAAGAATATAGAAGTAGATATATGGTCATTCTTTCAGAAACTGTCTAGCTCTTGCCAGTCACGAGCCCCCTGAAGTGTCTGATATTCTCTTGATAGAAAATTAGAATTTAGTTTGGCTCTTTATTTTTCATTCTTAGAAATGACTACAGAAATGATCAGCGCAACCGACCGTACTGATGACTGTTTTGAATATTCCTTTGTCTCTGGCATGATCCACAGTGAAATTGCCAGAGTTTTGCCTGCTGCTTTCCTCGTGGCCTCTTCTCGGGTAGTGAAATTAAGTGACATTTGGATTTTTATTTGGGTGGGAGGGCTGGGACAGTTTTTCTTTTAG